CACACACACACACACACACACACACACACACACACACACACACACACACACACACACACACACACACACAGTAGCCACAGCCCCCTCCACACACTCTCCCTCTCTTGTCTTATCCCCTTGCCCTCGCCGGGTCTGCAGCACATCAGCATTACTGGAGAGCACAGAGTAGCATTTCAAAGCAGAGCCGAGGAGGGTAGGGCAGGGCAGGCGGTGTGGCCCATCCGGTGCAGAGAGGGAATCTTTACCCCCCCCCCCCCCACCCTAATGTCAAGCTTCTCTCCCTCTCCCTCCCCAGAGCTGCAAGCCGAGCAACAGCCAGGCTCCTCCTCTCCTGCCACTCAGGAACTGATGACAAGGCTGGGCTTTTTACTGGGAGAAGGGATCCCGGGTACGGCACGCATACCTATGGACGACAAGAATGAAAAGAAGGTATGTGATTTTTCCTCCCTCCACTCTGCCTCCCCTCCCTTCCTCCCTCACTCGGCAGCAGCTGCTGCAGCAGCACTCAGATAGAGAGGTAGAGGAGGGCTGATGAGAGGAGAGGCTAGTTGTCACAATGTAACAGCTGAATGGATTGTTTTGTTGCTACCTGATTTGTTTTCCTCCTTTGAGTTATGGACAGTTTAAGGTGTACTATTTGGACATACTTTCTTGGCACAACAAGCAATGGTAACTGTCAAACTGTTTTAATTTCAGCTGTTGAACATGTTTTAAGAAAAGTGCAGATTTTAGATATTCTGCAGCTTTTTTGTGCGCGTTTGTCTCCCTGTAACTTAAAAGCTATTTAAGGGGCTCTTGAGTATGTAACAAGAGCATCTGAGCTCAGGTCCAGAAATAGTTATGTTAGGTCTGAGCCTCAGTTTGTTTGGTTCTACTAATTGAGCTGGGACCGTGTGAGAAGCAGAACCCAGCACGCTGCCATTTCCTCAATCATCTTGTGTCCTGGGCATGTTTTGACACTGAACTGGCAAATCTAAGAACGTGAGAGCGGCTTAGAAAGTCTCTATGAATCATAGTCATAATAGGAGGTGTCACAATACAGGATGGGCATGTGAGTCTAATGGTTTTAGACTTTTTTTTGTGCATGTAGGTGTGGGTTTTTTTGTGCTCATTGTTGTCATCTGAGAGCAGTTTTATTCCATCGTGACTCTGTTTTACAGCATGTCTTTAACTCAGCGTGTTTCAGTTTTGCCTTGGAGCTAATTTAAAAACCTCACTTTGGTGTTTGACTCTCACTGTGTTGTTTGCATAAAGACAGGAGGAATATAAAAATAAAGAATGGTTCACAGTTATGTCACAAATCTACAAGTTGTTCATCAAGCTGCAGSTTATTTAGTAACCTTTTGAGTTGGGCCATTTCTGATTGGATCTTTAAAAAGAAAGCTTAATTGTAAAGTTGGTTACTTTAAAAACTCATTTATTTTCAAATGCAGTAGCAAGGTTTTAAACTGAATAGAGGAGATGATAATGTTTTATAATAAAGCCTTTGCGAAGGACACACAGAAAAATGTGATTTTCTGAGGTTTAAATTGGTTTAAGTTTAAAATGGTAGTTTGATACAATGAAGCTATAGCCTTAAAAATATATACGTTGCTGCTTGAAAAGCAAACAGAGTGGCTGCAATGAAGCTGACAAATCCCATAATTCAACCTGAACAGTTACTTTTAGGTAGAGTATTAAAACTGGAAACCTGCACAGTCATTTATGCATGTAAGCCAACCCAGCTCCCAGCACCACAATAAATTGGTGATATCTCATTAGTTCTTTGTGCTTTTGTCCATAATATGCATGAAGAAAAGTCTTGATTTAAATTTTAGAAATTTCCTGTGAATAAGRCAGAACACAGAGGACACTAACGTTCTTGCATTGGCTCTGTAGTTTGAAGTATTTTGGCTCTTTTTGACAATGGAGCCTTGACGACCTTCAGCACATTGTACTTCGCTGAAGGAAAACGATGAAACAGAACAAACAAGGATTCCTTTGGATTTCTTCGGTTGTCACTTATTCCAAACAAAGATCCAGCTGTTGTACGCTTGTCAGCGAGGCTTGATGACAATAAAAGCTCATATTTTGTGTCACAACAAAGTGGAGTATTCTTCCCTTGTGATTTTTTACTTTAGTTCCTTCAAACATATGAACACGAGTTGTCATTTTTTTAAGCCTTGTGCCATTTACGGTGTGTATACCCTTCAGCTTGTGTGTCATCCTCACATGTGAACCGCCTGCTTATTTATGAAATAATGTATACTATTGCTTTTCCATGATTCAGTTTTTTTTAAGCCATACATTTCCTCGTAAAATGATCATATATTTTTTGTCAATTTATTAATCAGTTAAAAAAAAGTGAACTTCTTGTCGAGTGATTTAGATGAGTGTGTTTCATTTACATTCTTGGTTTGTTTGAACTCTTTTTGATTTCCTTCCTTCCTCAGTGCGATCTGACCAGCCAGGGTATTAGCCCTTGCTCTACACTGACCAGCAGCACGGCGTCTCCCTGTACCGACAGTCCATGTTCCACCCTCAACAGCACGACGAGTCGACCCCCACTCAGCCGCTCCAGCCCCTGTGGGACCATCACCAGCCCCAGCTCTACACTTGAGAGCAAAGACAGCGGGATCATAGGTGAGAAATAACTCACCCTCCCATCAGCCTTTCACAGCAAATAATTGTAGCTTAACATAAATGCAAGTYATTTTGGCTTTTATATAAAGGTACTTAAAGGCAAATATTCATGTATATGTAGCCATATGTTGGAGAAGAGTTTTGATGTAAACTCAGTTCTCAAGTTAGTAGTTTGAAGCTTCATTTAAAGGTGGAAACAAAAAGAAAAGAGCTCCTTTTATGGATAAAATGCTGACTTCATGTCTTAGTTTTTTTTTAAACTAAGCACAGTAAATAAAAAAATTTGTTTAATCGATATTCCTCTGAAAAAAATCAATAATAAAAATCTGATGACCAGCCAAAAATCACTTGGTGTCCTTTTGACATTTTCATCCGCACAATACAACTTTTACAGTTAATTTGTCTTTTTTATGTTGCTTATCAGAAATTATAGTGTTTTGCATAAAAACTCTTAAATTTCTTCTCTGAATGTTACCTCATACCTGTAGGGTGTATACCATGTCAGTCACTTGTCACTCTGYCAGACTTAGTGAGGCTGAATTGCATTTGTATCACATGATATTTACCTTGTATGTCAGTCAGTGGGTTTGTATAAAGCTGCTTCAGCACGATAGAGCAGCAATTTGACAGTTGCATCAGTTTGACGTTGTGCTGTAACTCCAGTAATAGCCCCATAAGACATCTGGGGATTTACACAGGCTGACGTGAAGATGGCAAAGTCTATTGATGCATTAATTCATCCTGCTGTTTCAACTCTCAAAGTGGCTTTATAAATGTCAGGATTTTATTTGGAAATAGAGCGAGAGCTAAATAACAAGCTGTAACTTCAGGACCCTACAGTTTTTCACAATAAAAACTTTTTTTTAAAACAAAGAATCTTTGGAAAAGTCAGCAGCAAAGTCTAAAAGTTAAACCTGTATTCTTTTTCTATGAATTCAGCTAATTGTTACATTTTAAAAAAGGCAAGTGAACGTGCTGACGTTAACAAAGATAAATTTGTTTTTTATAGCTCTGCAGTAAATAATAATAAATGATCAGATCCACAGCAGTTAATTCTTCAGAGTTGATGGAACTGATTGCCATGAGTTTGTCATGCTGCCCTGCATCCCCCAAAGCAAAGCCATTGCAAGCTTGTGAATAATTTATGAAAACTGTGATATAGTATCTTCCAGCTCTGAGGCTTTGATGCAAATCAAAATTAATCGTTTGGGGTAATGCTGCAGTGTCATCAAGTTTGAGGCCTAACCAGAAGATCTGTAAGTATTAGGAACTGTTGTAAAGTGAAAAGGGAGACCTCCTGTATTATATTACATTATATTATATTATACCTCCTGTATACCTCCAAACCAGTGGTTATTCCGTATGTTGCGGGTGTTTCGGAGAAACTGAGACGTTTATTTTCTAAACATGATGTCCCAGTGGCTTTCAAACCCCAAAACACATTACGGCAAAGGCTGGTTCACCCCAAAGATCCGGTGCCCCGGCACAAACAGARCAATGTTGTATATGCTGTTAAGTGCCAGGAGGACTGCGACCAGTTATACATCGGGGAAACAAAGCAACTACTGTTCAAAAGAATGTCCCAACACAGACGAGCTACATCTAATGGCCAGAACTCTGCAGTTTTCACTCATTTACAGGCCAGCGGTCACTCTTTCAGAGATGAGGATGTTCTCATTCTTGATAGGGAGGAACGTTGGTTTGAGAGAGGAGTAAAAGAAGCCATTTTTGTGAAGAAAGACCGTCCATCATTAAACAGAGGTGGAGGCCTCCGTTTTCAGCTGTCCCCCTCCTACCGTGCTGCTATTGCCAGTATCACTCCACCCCCTGTTAACAATAGGTGTTAATTAGGTGTCAATGATAGCCAGGTGATGTGAGTATCAGTCACATGGAGGTAGGGCTTAAAAGCCTGAATTTTGCCTGAAACTCTCAGACTGAAGAAGTCTCTTGGAGGAGAGACGAAACGTTTCATTAGAGAAGAACCCGTCCAGAAGACCTATACAATTTTTTTTTCTTTTTGATTTTTTACCTGGATTACTGAGATGCATCAGGACACCTCCTGTATTGATATACAGGAGGTGGGTCAAAAGTCACACGGCACCCTTTTAATTTTTGGTCCAAAATGTCGGCTTTATTTTCAGTTTCTTTTTAAAATAAAAGGGTGTCCTGCTACTTTTGACTCAACCTTTACATTCATCTAGTGAGATTGTAGAGTCTACACAGCAGCAAACAGTGAAATTCTTGTGGATCTTGAGCAGCTCTTTCATTTCACAGCACCTGTCCAGCAAAGGTTTACGTCTGCAGAAAATGTTGGGGGGAGGGTGCAAAGAATTCAAAATTAAGAGTTTAATGTTTRAAATTTGTTTTAAACTTAGACTTTACTATTTTGTTAGCAATCTGTTGGTTAATATTTAGAACCACTGAGCTACAATGGCTCATCCCCCCTGCCTGGAAAAAGTGTTTTAGGGAGGAACAGAACAAAGCTGTGCTGCACAAGTAGGATTCCTGCCTGTGATTAATACGTCCCACTCTTTGAAGTGCTCACCCTGATTTTGGTTGGAAAAGCACATTAATTTCACTTTGTACTGCATTAAAAGCTTTTTTTGAAAACAAATCACAAAAAGCTGCACAGGGTACATGGAGAAAAACCCTTAAATTGTGATTTTTTATGCATGCTTTTCATCACATCCAAAGCTAAGTATGCCTAGATTTGAACAAGTAACAATGTCAGGACCTAGCGATCAACCAAGTAATCAATTGCCTTCTTAATCCTGACGGTTTTAAGTAGATGTCCAGAGCTGGGTTAGATTTAAGTGTTTGTATGAATGACTCCATATTCACAGCGATAAATGGCTCCAGAGTCACAAGGTCCAGAGTGTTTGTTTTATTAATGATGATGCAATTTTGCGCAGCGTAATGAAATCCAGATTAGCCGTGTGTCTGAACACAGCCAGGTGGTGGGTCTGTTTCAGCGCTCAGACTGTATTAATGGTTTTCTATCTATCTGCTTGTCAGCTCACCACTCAGCATGGATTACTGTTAGATAGCCCCAGGAAGGATTAGTGGATTTGCTCTCATTTGAACAAAACATCTGTCTGAACTAGAAAATAATGAGTTTTTAGGTATCCACTCTGCTTTTAGGCTTTTTGCATGTTTGGGTGTAAATGTACTTAAATTTGTACATCATCTAATTGTTGTTTTGAATGTGCACTCCAAATTCTTGAAAACTTGAAGGAAGAAAGAACCATCTGAGCTAATTCTTTCAACTAATTTAGCTCATCTAAAGCTGTAATCCTTCAATGTTTTTATCAGTTCAAGGAGACTGTTGCTGTGAATTTAAATTGAGCTTCAGAACGTTGTTGATAAGGGTGATGAGGGAATTGGTTATTAAAAGATTGATAAAGACAAATGTCCGCATAAGACCAAAAACAATGCTTTAATATTTCCTTTTCTTTTATATTTAGCCACCATCACCAGTTCCTCAGAGAACGATGACCGCAGTGGCTCCAGTCTTGAGTGGAGTAAAGATGGCAGTCTAAGGAGCAGCGGGCGCCATGGCCTGGCACAGAGTGTCCGGGCCGACACGTGTTCCCCTGTGGTGGAAGAAGACTCCAGCAGCGCCACAACAACACCAGCTGACACCCCGTGTAGGACAGACCACCAGCAGAAGCCACCCTACATATCAGCAGGACCATCGGGACCCACACGACTTCCAGGTCACTCACCCGAGGGACCCAGTCAATACCCATCGCAGTCATCTTCTTCCCTCATGATGCCGAGGCCGAACTCTGTCGCGGGTAAGAACCATGAGCTCTCAGAATCTTCTTGTCGGATTGTCTTTGCCAGATTTTGGCTCGATGYAGGGACACGTGACAAGCGGCGTGCTGTTTGAGTCGAGGCGAATGACGGACCCAGAASGGGCAGCAGCATGAAGAAATGTACAAATCCACGTTGTGCTTTTCACAGCTGGGTACCAAGCCAGAAGTTTAGGATTAGGCAGCTGCTGTACGTTGTGTCTCAGCTCTGACTGCCCCTGTCAGACCCGAACACAAGCCACTGCCTGGCTGATCTGTTCTGCATTCCTGCCCTTGAACCTCCCTGTTGTGGTTCAGCTCACGAACTCCTCACAGCTGTCACAGTTGTTGATATAACTCAGTACCCCCTTTTTTTCCTTTTATGCTCCCTCCTTATTTCCATTCCCCGGGTCTCCCTTGTTCTGTCCTCCTCAGGTTTTGCTGCTGTTGCGTTTGACCTTGGCCTTATTGTTGAACTGGCATTTATACGCTATTACTTTGCTTTGTGCTCTGTTGTACACCCGGGGTTCATAAAGTCACTGACAGTTATTGGATTCTGATGTGTAGCTGACACAAAAATAACCAACARTGTAGTCTACAACTCTGTCTAACCACAGGGTGATGATTTTACAGCATACCTATGCTGACTCTGCATGCTCAGGGTGAGATTTAATAGCTGCTTGAAATAACAGTATAAACACAAAGGGCCTGAGWCCAGTATTTGTTTAGCAGACCCAGGTAAAGCACTGTTTAGGCAGAGCCTAGATTGTCTTGAAAATAAGTCTGCATTCTCAAGAGCAATCACAAAAAAGAATAAAACAATCCGATTTGCATCTACTGCTCAATCGCTGAAGTGTTTTTCGATTSTTTTTGACAAAACCCTATCTATCTTATTTGTTATTTTGTGAGTCGTAAACTTTAACCGCCTAGATGCACAGTGGCTCGTAAAGCTAGCAGACCAGGAAATGTTTGGCAGTGAGTGTGTGGTTGGTTTATTTTGTATTTTTTTTTGTGCGTACAACAGTTTATGGGCTGATGTCATAGTTATGCAGCGTTGCCCTCAGGGGACCTTGACGACACACACCTTAGATTTTATGCTGTGTGACAAAACCATGGGATGAGAGGACATCAAGGACATGTTGAGATGRCTTCATTTATGGTTCCGACCTGACTGAAGGTGCCATTGTGAGGCAGGAATCGTGCTTCTTCTCCACTAATGCTCAGAGGAATCRTATTCAGGAGAGACATTATGATCATTCTGACAATCGTGCTGTGCAATTGGAGAAATTGTTTCACGGTTGTAGAAAAATATTTAAACTCAGGTGTTGTGTTAATATTTTTGGTATCTCTAATTGTTAGCATTATCTTGGAATTGATTTAAATCTGAGGATGACCTTATATTCTGAGCCTGAGGCAAGCACAAAAGTGGACATTGCATTTATTTAGTGATTATTTTGTTGTTATTATTTTTTCGTATAAAAATGTTTTTAAAAATCAACTTTCTTCACATTGTGACTTTTCAAGTTTTGATGTGAGCAACTGTAACATTTACAAGGTGCACCAAATGAAAATACTTCACCTTGACACTAAAAGGAGCTAAAATTGGGGGGGATATTTGGGGGACAAGTAAACATTTATCTTGGAGAACATTCTCCTGACCTAGGATTGCCTGAAAAATGTAAACAGCCAGTCTGTCACAAAAAACAACCACCACATTACTTCCCAGCTCCTGACATGGGTGCATGTATGCAATTTAATAAACAGTTAGGACAGCTTTCCACAAATCCTGTATTTAATTTAAAATTTTATACAATGTCTTTGTGCATTGTGCGGTCTGACTTTGGCATGACCYTTTTGGAATGTTCACTGCTGAGAAAATTGGCAACCTTCTTAAAAATTTCCATTTTTCACCTGTACCCCTTCTCAGACAGATGGGCAGCAACAATAGCTTCTTTAAGATCATCACTGACTGTTCTCCCTTGTTGGGATTATACTCATACACACCTGAATTCTCCAGGTGATCAAATTATCAAAAGTTTAAATTTTTTACAGTGAAACAAATGCATGAGCTGCAGCACCTATAGGTACTACCTTCATAACATTACTTACTTAGAAGTGTGAAAAAGGGTGAACATTTTTTGTATTTTTTCCACATTTATTCTGCATTCTGGGTAAATTTATTGCAAAATGAATAAAAACACATTATGTACTTTTTAAAATCTGAGTTGATCTAATTAAAAAAACTATTAAGAAATTAATTATTCTTTCTGTTTTGATGCATATGGAAACAAACTTTTAGGCCATATTATGTCAGAGAAATGTTTGACTTTATTGTCCGCACAAACACACCAAGTGAAGTCATTAATTTGTCATTGAGACTCTGTGGGATCAAACACTTTATGGAGTCTACACAGGTTGAATCAAGTTACACAAAGTTTTAGCACCTATCATTCATTTGGGATTGAAAATGTATCTGCAGACTAAGACATGCAGGCAATCTTTTTTTGGGGCTTCTCTCTTAAGGCCTCAGCATGCTCCATTCAAACTCCCGAATTTGTCTTTCATTGCATCAGCTGCATGACGAAAATTGCGTCATTCTGTTCGCARCTTCGAATCTGACGCCCTTTCTTGACWYAAACACACCRGGAGAACTTTTMTCCCCYTCCACATAAGAACTTACTGTGTCACAAGTTTGTGGGCGTATGTGTTTGTGCTGAAAGAGCTCGGACACTGCATTTTGCTCCATCTACTCGCTTTCCCAAAAAACCCATAACRCTACTCTCTTCCAGAAGCCGACTGTTGTACCCAGAAGCAGACATTTATAAAAGTAGTCAAACAGCTAAAAACACATGAACAAAGATATTCTGCACGGAGGAATCCATCTGCAGACAAGTGTGGCACTTTAACCTGGACAGATTTGTGGAAAAATAACAGTGGATCAGAGTTTTCTTATTTCTTTTTTCCTCCTGAGCATAGAATCTAGTGGGAAGGAGCCACATGCAGTGACATGTACCATAGCCGGAGGGGTTTCTCAGGATCTCTGCTCGGTGTGTCTCAGGAGCTGTAAAAAGTGTTCAAAAAGAACGCTGAACAACCACGTGACCTCTCGTCTACTGTTCGGTTTTGGATGGAGTATGAGGAGAACTTTACTTGACACACCCCATGAAAATGTTKAATTTTGTCTAGACACAAGTATTTCTAATAAGGCAATGAATCTGATCTTTAGAATATTTTTTTGTGAATCTCAGGATACCCATTTGAATGATATCAAATTCAATATGAAAGTTGTWTTATGTGCGCAAAACAGTTTTCTAGACTTCAATAAATCAAACAAGCATTTGAATAAGCTTTTCTTAAACTAGTGAAACTAAAAAGACAATATTACCTTATTTTATAATGATTTTATGTAAATGAGCAGACACAGTAGTGTAGTAAGTTCTGTTTTCAGACAGTAAGGAAGCTGTAATTTCAAACTGGGAGTTTTCTGGGTATAATGTTGCAGTGGATCTGTGCTTATCGTCTCAGTCAGCACTGCTTTGTGTTGGGAGTGTTTTGATGTAAGGCACATACTCGGGTATATTGTATTCTGAAAGCGTGTGTAGGCTCCACTACTCTAGCTCCGAGCTTGCCTCATCAAACATAACTCTTGGATTTTTCATTTGATTGTGTTCTGACTGAAGTCTGTGGAGGATTACCAGGTGAACTGTTGGACATGTTGTTTCTCTACTAAATGTTGGATACAGGTTAGAAGGGTAACTACTAAATGTAGTTGTTTTTTAGCATTAATACAATAATTCTCACCTACTTATTAAAGATGTTTTCAGTGTCAGACAGCAATTTAAAAAATCATCTCTTGAACTGGTGCAGCACTGCAGCAAAGAATAGCTTTTTATATCGAATATGTTGCAACACCTGGCTGTYGTAGTAGAGCTAGAAGGCAGACTCGATGCACTTTGTTTCCAACTTGTGATACACAATACATCAGAAGCTTGTGTCATATGTGACATATTTTTCTCCTTTTCAGTGCTTTTTTTTATATTTTAGTAGTTTTTCCCTCCATTTTCAGACTGGATATGATCAGTGTTTGTGATGTCTCCAGGGAGCCATGGAATTCACATCCGGAGTTTTCTTTATGTAGACACCGATCTGTTTCATTCAGAGACTGAAATGAAAATAAAAAGAAAATGGATAAGCTATTCATATCCTCTGGCGTATTTTGAAAAGGTCACAGTGGCATCATCCAAAATGTCCACTTTCAGAGTGTTGTTTGATGCTTCTATGCCACAGCAGGAGGAAAAAGAAAAAAAAACTATTTCAGAAATCAATCATTTGGAGTTTGCTGTCTCTTCAGTGGAACCCCATTGGCAAGCAGGTTTTGTTAAATGCCTGGTCTTAAAGGAGCCATGTATTAGATTACCATTCTCTAACACTGACAGATAATCTCTAGGGGCAAAAAAGGGGGAAAAAAGGTCCTCTGGCTCCTCTCGGTGGTCCTTCAGCCCTCTGTTAAAATCTCTCCGACCCGGAAACAAACAGCCAATCAAAAGTGAGGTTTGTCTCATGCACGAGCTGTTCTTGCCCACCTAYGTCCCTGCCCGCGCAGCGCGCACGCCGCGCAGCCGAGCTGGCGCACTCTCGTGCAAACAGTAAGCTAGCTGAGCTAGCTGAGTGAAGCTGACCCCTCCAACAACCTTCACCCTACAACCTGGATTGGAGCCTGCTCTGAAACCCAACACAGGGAAACAGAAGAAGACCCAGGAAGAAATCCAAGTAGAAAAGAAAGAATGAAATGAAGCCCGGAAAAATGAAAACAAGGTGGATTTCACAGGAGGAAGAAGAGGGATGCAGACTTAGCCATTTCTGCTTGACAAGTTAGTATCTCTGCTTCATTCTTTTTATTTTTGATAACGTTATTTAAAAATAAAAAGCATATACAGGTGCTGGTCATAAAATTAGAATATCATGAAAAAGTAGATTTAGTTCAGTAATTCCATT